GAGCTGTTTGAAAACAGCGAAAATTTGGAATTTTTCCAAAACGATTATAACCCTCACTACTCCTTTCTCTGTTGCCCAAGAAGAGGGGCTGAACACACCTTTTACAGAAAGCACCTTTCTGCGTAGGCGGCCTTCGGCCGCGCTTAGGGATTATAACCCTCACTAAGTAGAATTCTCCTTTCTGTGTTGCCGAAGAAAAGAGGCTGAACAACTTTTGCAGAAAACAACTTTCTGCGTAGGCGGCCTTCGGCCGCGCTTAAGTATTATAACCCTAAGTAGAATTCTCCTTTCTGTTTTGCTAAAGAAGAGAGGCTGAACACCTTTTGCGGAGATATTTCGTGGATATTTTTTTTTTGACAGCTTAGCTCGGAAACTTGCAAAAAATACCATATTTCCAACCGACATTATTAATAAATTAGTGCACAGATATAGTAAATTATATTTTTTTAATAAATCGTGGACTGTTGTCTACAAGTGTGTGTAAAAGGTTTTTGATTCGATTCACGCGTTTGGGCACAGCAACCCAAAATCGTTGTACAAATTCATAAAGAGTGCCCAGTAATTTTGCTGTTTGACAGTTTTACAGGAAAAGTATTGGATCAGGGCTTATGTATGTATGAATAAGCATATTTACATTTTTTTGTCTATCTGGATTACTGTATACTGTGGTGTAAACGGCCTTTCAACTAATCGCTTCGGGTGGGGTTTAGTAGCGCTCCCAACTATTTCGGGCTATTCCGTCCAAAGTCCGAGACACTCAAGGGTCTACGCATTATTTTAACACTCACTTTTGTAAATTTCGGTGACTAATTTAATTACAAATAGGGTTTGAAATATGCCCTTTTTTGTAAAATCCGGAAATTAGCGTACATTTATCACTCCTATTCTCCTTAAAGCAGCCACTTCACCAATACATTTTTGTATTCCCCTTCACTTTATACTTTACTCGATTAGTTATAACTGGCTTTACGACTTTAACCCATTTGCGCCCTTTGTACTATGTAAACGACACCAATTCAACCCACGTCTAAAAGTTTACTATTATTATTAGAACGAAATTGCTTTAATAAGTTTGCACATACTGGTATTAATTTCACTTCAGATGGAATAAAAGACAAATAGGTATAACTGGGGACTCCGGATTTGGACCCTTACAAATCGACTTATCACATTAGAAGTGGTCCATATGAAAAGCTGCGAGTTTTTCTTAAATTATTGCACTTTGCCTTAAAATATCCGCTATTATAAAGTGTAAAACGAGTAAATTAATCAAATTACTAACAATGGGTATAAGGATTTGTTATTTGATGGATTTATACAGGTATTTCGTTAGCTGTCGTTGAAAGCCGGTTTTTCTGTTCGAAAAGCTTGAGAACAGCCGTACCGATTTTTCGAACTTTTGGACACCTATTTCCGACTTTCCAAGCATGGTTATAGACTAAAAATAATTTGGATATGTCATCGGTGCGTGGCAGCTCCCATACAAACTGAATTTTTCATACTGCATATGAAGAGGAGTTTGCTGTAGAATAATAAAACTTGGTATGGAGATAGTTTATGAAATCAATCCTCAGTAGAAAAGTGGCGGTTATTGGAAAAGGGGGTGTGGTCCTCCTTTACATAGTGAAACTTGTATAATGCATATTTCTTCCGGGATTTATAGATCATACAAGTGGAACTATCGTACAGAACAGCTCTAGAGGTATTTGTGGAAGGATATGGAATTATTTGTGGAGATTTATGTTAGTAATACTTTACTGTAAGAGAAAAAAGTGAGAAGTAGTAGTTGAAAATAGTCTTGCAATTACGTAAAATGATAAAATGTTCAAAATCTGGCCTCTGTGACATGATGATTCAGAATTTTTGTAAAAACGTCAGGTAGTTTCTGAATTAATTTTCTCGAGCTGTATATATATATTTATTTCTTAAGGAAATTTCGATTATATTTTGTTACTATAACAGGGCGGTAGCAAGTTCTGAAGGTTATTATTAAGTCTTTGACATATATTGTGGAAAAATCATTGGAAGCTCATAGGATCATCTTGGAAATAGAGTAGTCAAATCGCTGTTATCAAAAAATGTTAGGTTTTTATATTCGTAGCAAGAAATGGTGGTGGGTTATGAATCTCCGCATATATGCTTGATATGAGTATATCTAACCGGTGGATTCGACATGTTTTGTTTGTTAGAGGACACATTGTTCGAAAAAGCCACCCATCTGGTTCTATTGCAGCAGATCCAAACCCAAGGCATAACTTACATAACAAAGGCAAGTTGCCCAGCAGCAAAACTGAGTTTTGTGTCATGAGGTAATAATATGACAATGTACAGGATGCAAAAAAACGTTATGCTTTGTCAAATAATGTTTTAAAAACTAACACGCATAAGTGCCCGCTGTACTAAAAAACGTACACTCCCAAAAGTTAACTTTTACACTTTTTTCGTTTATTTTACTTCCTAAGTTTGTTTAAAATGCCTTTTATGGTCACATAAATAAAATTAGATATAATAAGAGTTTAACCGTTTTTGTTTGGACGTAAATGGGTTAATATTAACCAATTAATCACAATTCATTAAATAATAACACCTTCAAAATCAAGCGTGACTTTGGTTGCATATGCAAATTAAATGGCGGAGTTCAGCTGTCAAACTCCAAAATATGCAAAAGAATGAGAGACAAAAGAAGATAGGATATAACCCAGTAAGCATTAAAAATATACAAAGGTGTTCTCTGCAAAAGGTGTTCAGCTNACACAGAAAGGAGAATTCTACTGCCTGAGGGTTATAATCCCTAAGTGCGGCCGAAGGCCGCCTACGCAGAAAGGCGTTCTCTGAAAAAGATGTTCAGCCCCCCTTCTTTGGCTACAGAGAAAGAATTCTACTGCCTGAGGGTTATAATCCCTAAGTGCGGCCGAAGCCCGCCTGCGCAGAAAGGTGTTCTCTACAAAACGGTGTTCAGTCCCCCCTTCTTTGGCAACACAGAAAGGAGAACTCTACTGCCTGAGGGTTATAATCCCTAAGTGTTGCCGAAGGCCGCCTACGCAGAAAGGTGTTCTCTGCAAAAGGTGCTCAGGCCCCCTTCTTTGGCAACACAGAAAGGAGAATTATACTGCCTGAGGGTTATAATCCCTAAGTGCGGCCGAAGGCCGCCTACGCAGAAAGGTGTTCTCTGCAAAAGGTGTTCAGCCCCCCTTCTTTGGCAACACAGAAAGGAGAATTCTACTGCCTGAGGGTTATAATCCCTAAGTGCGGCCGAAGGCCGCCTACGCAGAAAGGTGTTCTCTGCAAAAGGTGTTCAGCCCCCCTTCTTTGGCAACACAGAAAGGAGAATTCTACTGCCTGAGGGTTATAATCCCTAAGTGCGGCCGAAGGCCGCCTACGCAGAAAGGTGTTCTCTGCAAAAGGTGTTCAGCCCCCCTTCTTTGGCAACACAGAAAACAGAATTCTACTGCCTGAGGGTTATAATCCCTAAGTGCGGCCGAAGGCCGCCTACCCAGAAAGGTGTTCTCTGCATAAGATGTTCAGCCCCCCTTCTTTGGCAACAGAGAAAGAATTCTACTGCCTGAGGGTTATAATCCCTAAGTGCGGCCGAAGCCCGCCTGCGCAGAAAGGTGTTCTCTGCAAAAGGTGTTCAGCCCCCTTCTTTGGCAACACAGAAAGGAGAATTTTACTGCCTGAGGGTTATAATCCCTGAGTGCGGCCAAAGGCCGCCTACGCGGAAGGCATTCTACGCAAAAATACATTTGTTAAAAAGAACATTTTTTTATAAAAACTTGTTTTTTCTATTTTTAATTAACTTTTTTATTCTTTATTCAAAATCGCCCGATACCTAATTTGGCACCTTTTGCAGAGAACACCTTTGTATATTTTTAATTGCTTATATCCTATCTTCTTTTTTTCTCATTTTTTTGCATATTTTTGGGAGTTTGACAGCTGAACTCCGCCATTTAATTTGCATATGCAACCAAAGTCAGACGCGTGATTTTGACGGTGTTTTTATTTATTGAATTGTGATTAATTGATTTATATTACAAGTCATAAAGCAAGTTATAACTAAACGAGTGAAGTATAAAGTGAAGGGGAATACAAAAATGTATTGGTGAAGTGGATGCTTTAAGGAGAATAGGAGTGATAAATGTACGCNACAAAAGGTGTTCAGTCCCCCTTCTTTGGCAACACAGAAAGGAGAACTCTACTGCCTGAGGGTGCNAATTAGTGACCAAAATTTACAAAAGTGAGCGTTAAAATAATGCGTAGACCCTTGACTATGTGTGTGGAATTTTTTTTGGATCGGGCCACCCCTTTGGACGGAATAGCCCGAAATGTTGTTGTTGTTGTAGCGGCTACAACAACCTCGCCCAGGACGGTTGGTGTCTCAGTCGTTGTCGTCAAGTTCCACTAACGGCAACCCTAGGAAGCGTGCAGCTTCTGTGGGGTTTGTCCACAGGGACAAGGCCGTTAGGGTTGTCGGGTTTTCCGGGCATGCGAAGAGGAGTTTCGAGTCATGTGGGGTCTCTCCGCATGTCGGACACTCATTCGGCACATCCTCATTCAACCTACTCAGGTAGGAGTTTGGGAACATCAGGAAGCAGCCCGAAATAGTTGTGAGCGCTACTAAACCCCACCCTTTTTATTATTTATTCAAAATCAGCCGATATCTAATTTGGCATAATTTCTTTTATTAAAAAATCCCAGCCTGTGGGAGGAGCCCAATGGGGGGTACGCCTTTTTAGAAAGCGGGGACTGTCCCCTTACGAGTGGGGGCGCCGCCCCCGCTCCCTCCGCCACCCAACCCAAAACCAATGTGAGCGCTACTAAACATTTCCCATCGCTTCGAATGAAGTTGGTCGGCTGCCTGCTCTCGTTCAACTTCTGATTCAACTAATCCCCTTGGAAAGCTGAATCATGTAAATTCCCAATTAGTATTAACTACCTTCACAACTCCCTTCATTGCCCGTAACAGCCCTCAAGTTACCATCCATAATTGCCCCAAAACATACCGCCAATTGCAATTTATCCTTTCTCTTTTGTTCCTCTTCCTTAGCTGCCGCTTCGTCCCGCCGAACACGGGCGATATTGTCCTTCGTTCGTACGTGCCATCTTGAAGAAATAATTTAATTCCTTGAGAAATATAAAAACAAAAATTTTGTACATAGTTTACCTTTTCTTCGGAAGAATGTTCATTTTCTTCGCCGAAATCGCTACTGCATAGAGGTTTCGGAAAAGCATCGATACATCGCAAATATCGATGTTTTGGTACGATGCATGGAACAGTGCTGCCGCTGTCACTTCAATTGAAGTTTTCACTTCACTTTACCTACGGTTTACACCGGACAATACTGTCATGACAATAGCGACACATGCACACTTTTTCACTAAGGCTATCTGCACACGTGTCGTCCAATCATAGTTCCGTTATCGTCTCGTCCCATGATTCAATAACTACAGGTTGTAGCAATCGTACAAAAACAACATTTACCATTGGTATGAACTCCTTGTGTCATCAACGTCTTCTTCATGTATTCGTATTCGTATGTATATGTATACCCTGCATACCAGGATTTCGCAGGAATCTGAAAGGTTTCACAATTTTTTTAAGAATTTTCTCCAAGAAATCGTACAGAAATTTCTTTACTAGTTCTAGTCAACCGCTTCATATGTTTTTCTTTAAAGATTCCTAAAAGAATCGTAACAAATTTCCGATACTCTTAAAGATTTCGGTAGCATTTGTTTGCAGGGTATATATTTACGTATATGTGTATGCACGGTGCAGCGAACAAAGGTGGCGCCGTCAGTGGTACCGCTACTTTGGTTTTGCCGATTTTGACAGTTGTGGTAACTTGTAAATAAACCTTTGTTTACAAATCAGCGAAAGAGAAATATGAATTATAAGTGAAAAATCAGTTTAAATTGTGTTAATTTGCAATTTGTGAGTGATTTTTGAGTTGAAGACTGCGTAAAAACTAATACAATGAAGTGATGTGTGTTAAATTGCGACAGCCGTCAAGATGCAAGAAGCGTAGATGCAAGTGTAGCGCTGGGACGAATCGCTGCATTTTGTGTACATAGGGCACGGCAAAGCCGTTCCCGAAATATTTCTCTATTATTATATTAACAGCAATTCCTCACAATGATTTTGTTTCTGCTCCACGCAGCCTCCATTAGCAAGTTAACTAATCAATCCCGCAGAGATGCTGCTGCAGTTTTCTGCAGCAGCCTTAATTGCAAAGCAATGGAGTGTACTAAAACGTTTGCTGAAGCAGCCTCAATTGCAAAGCAATGGAGTGCACTAAAATGTTCACTGTTCTCTAATAGATTAGGTGAAAAATGCAATATTTTCGCATTTAGCAAAATTAAAACACGTTTTTCGCTGTAAAGTGAACTGCTTTGGCAGTTTCAACTCGTTCTTTTCGCTCTATTCGTTGTTTACTTGTGGTACACAAATGTCAACGCCCAGGACGGCGCAATCTTGTATTCTATCATTCTTGATGTGTATGTATACGCGGATATGTAAACAAAGCAAAACAGACGATAATTTGGCACAAGCGTGCTCATAAGAAGAAGCATAGCCCTGAAATTTTGAGCCGAGCACATGCATTTCAAGGAGATCTGCGCACTTGTCGTTATCGGCTAGTTATCAGCAAATCGTAGAAGATGCAGGAACGGATAAGTAAGGCAGTGTCGTTTGCTAATCGTTGTGCACGCATTGTTTGTATACATTTCATGGGGAAAAATTAGTGAAAAAGTTATTATTTGCGTTATAAATGCATAAAAATTAATATTTTTTGCATAAAATCTGTGGAGATTATTAAAAAGTGGATAATTGCATTAAAATTCAATAAATCTGAGCGTTTTAACTATAAAATATGACGAAATTGTAAAAAGCCTCTGTGTGCATGCTCAAAACACATCTCAGGAATAGAAAGGAAGAGATATTACTGAAAAATGATGTGTAGAGATGTTGCAGCATAGTCTATATTTTAAAAATTGCTTTTTTTTTGTAAATATTTCCCGAAAATATCAACCAAAAAAAACAGAAAATACCTGCTCCAAGTGAATTTTTAGACGCCAAATGAATTGAAATATCACAACCGAGTGTTCGAAAGTGTAGTCGTCATGTATTCGTTGAATCATGATTGTGACATTGAATTGGGATTATCTGGAATGTATAAAGAAACGCAGCCTTCGTTCTACTTCACTTTCCACGAATAAGATTTATCTTCAAAATAAATTAAAATGTCTTTGAAGTATAGGATTTATTTAACCAAAACCAACAATCCTTTGCCAAAATTTTTGTTAGATAGTAAGTATGGCAAAGAAACTTTTCGCAAAAAACTACTCAAAAGAGCCCAGTAAATCATCGATCTGGCATCGGTTATTTGGAAGAAGTCATTTTGAGTTTGATTTTCACATATATAGTTGTAAAACGCACAGAAATGAATGGGTGGATAAAGTTTCATAATTATTTAGTAAATATTTGAGGAAAATAACAATTACATTTTAGTTTTCATACATCTTAAATTTTACAGCAAAAATGAAACATTTAAGTGAATCTCGTGATGACGTTGTTTCTGTGTGGCACTCCGCATACGGCTTCTCTCTTCATCGTATCGTCATCGGCGCGACATTAATTTTTCATGCAGCGACGATGACGATACGCTAACAGGTCCTCACACAACGCGACCATCTATTGTCAAAGTACTAGTTGTGAAGATGACGAAAAGCGGTGAGGAAGAATTCATCATATTTGAAACAGGACCAGTGTTGCCGTTTTGTCCAAATGGATCAAAATGCTACGTTTTTCATCGAATTTTTAAAAGATACTGTGGCGAATGCTGCGGCAACGCGAAGCGAACAACGAGAAATAGGCAGAATGTTCGAAGAATGACGTAGAATGTTCCACAAAGAGAAACGTCAATTGGATGAACACTGCGAACAGCGGGAGAAAGAGAATGAGCGATGAACTTCAGAACGTTCGAGAGTTGCCATGAGTGCGAGCGCAGGTATATAAGAGCCACGACACAGTGGAGTTGCGTTAGTTACGAGTTACAAGTAAGCAAGCTACAAGTAAAGTGAGCACAGAAGTGAGTTGCGAATAAGCAAGCTATAAGTTTAATTGTTTTAACAAGTTTAGTAAAGCGTTGTATTGCTTTACCAAATATTTTAAAGTGTTTTTACTGTATTAGCGAGTATTGTAAATTTTTTGTTGTGCAATAAAGTTAATTGTATTACAATTTGGTCATCGTTAGCATTTATTTAACAATCCAGCGATACGAACCGGAAGATTTGGGAAATCCGGACGAGGTTTCAAGGATAATCGTAACAATTGGTGTCAGAAGTGAGATTGTTAAATAAATCCCGAAGGATAAACTTTTGAAAATGGCAAAAATTCAGGACTTAAAGATTGAGGAACTCAAACAGGAGTTGGAGAAGCGAAATTTAGCAACCTCCGGAAGAAAAGTGGAGTTACTATCACGGCTGCGAGAGGCCATGGAAGCATCGACGTGGACAAATACGACTTCCAGGGTAAACTTGACGATGCATCCGCAAAGGATGAAGAGAAGGATGAGGCCGCTTGTTCGTCGAAGGATATGCAGCAGACAGCCGGTAAGGTTGAAGAACAGCAAAAGGCTCCTAGTTCATCCACAGGTATGGACATGAACACGTTATTGGCTGCCATGTCACAGATGATGCAGGAACAGAGGTCGCAGTTGTCGTTAGACGTTTCCTCACAGAGGCAAGCGTTGGAGACACGTATATCTTCAGAGGTATCAGCGCAGGTGTCATCCCGGTTAGAAACTCAGCTACAGCGGCACGCATATCATCACAGCTGGAAGCACAGGATGAAAAAATTACACAACTACAGGACAAACTTGAAGAGAGACAGGAGAAAGTCGAAGCAAAGGTAGAAGAATTGGAAGGTCGTCTTCGTGATTTACAGTTGAATCGTTCAGCTACTTCGACGAGCGCACCCAAGGTAAAAACCCCATCCTTTGACGGCACGATTCCTTTCCAGGTCTTTAAGCTCCAGTTCGAAAAAACGGCTGCAGCAAATCATTGGAGCATGGAGGGTAAGTCCGCTGCACTATTCATTGCATTGAAAGGACCTGTGGCAGAAATCTTGCAGACTATTCCCGACTGTGAAAGAAACAGTTACGATGCGTTGATGAGTGCTGTGGAGAGACGTAGCGAGCACAGGAGACAGATTTACCAGATGGAGCTGGAGAATCGCTGCCAGAAATCCAACGAGACTTTACAGGAATTCGCCTCTGAGATTGAATGGTTGGCTCATTTGGCAATTGGAGACGCATCTGGTGAGCACCTCGAAAGGGTAAAAATCCAGAAGTTCATCAACGGAATGCGGGACGTGTATACCAAGCGAGAGACGTACGCGAATCCAAAGCCAACCTTTGCTGAAACTGTCTCGTATGCTCAGACGCATGAAACCGCGGCGCTCCTAAGTAGACCAGTCTACAAAGCACATCGCGTGGAAGTGGAAACACCGCACGAGACAAATGAAATGCTGAAGAAGGTTATCCAACAGCTGGGCAAGAAAAAGCATGGCTCTGGCAAATGTTTTAAATGTGGAAAGCCAGGTCACTTCGCCCGCGATTGCAGCGCAATCCGGAAGAAAAGTGGAGTTACTATCACGGCTGCGAGAGGCTATGGAAGCATCGACGTGGACAAATACGACTTCCAGGGTAAACTTGACGATGCATCCGCAAAGGATGAACAGAAGGATGAGGCCGCTTGTTCGTCGAAGNTAATTGGCCGGAAAGCATGCAACCTCACTGTTGGTGGATGTGTGAATGGGTAGAAGAGAGTACTGACAGTGGATACTGGAGCGACACATTCCATCATTCAACCGGATTTGGCCACTTTTCATGTGAATCCACTACCTGGAGCAAAGCTGCAGACTGCAACTGGTGAACGCACCCAAGTGTTGGGAGAAGTACCATGCGAGGTAATAATCGACGGTTTGGCCTCGTACACGAAGTTTATTGTGGCAGACATTGTGGATGAAGTTGTTGCTACAGAGAAAGAGTTACGAGAGGCNAGCAGGGCTAAAGGGCACGAAGCCAACTCCAATCATTCGTTAAACTGAAGCGAGCCTGCAGGAAGGGCCGCATGCTGGCTCCAGAAGTTGAAGGGCCCATAATCTCCGTCTCACTAATTGGCCGGAAAGCATGCAACCTCACTGTTGGTGGATGTGTGAATGGGTAGAAGAGAGTACTGACAGTGGATACTGGAGCGACACATTCCATCA